TTGTTTCAACATTTTGAATATTTTGGATTGTTTGATTTTGTGGAGTGTTAGACTTTGGATTTTTTTGAATTTATATATTTGGTTTAGTTAAATTTATTGCATCATTTACATCATTATTAGCAATATGACCATTTGCATATCACATTGTTATGAATATTGATTATGGAACTAATGGCTAACGTTTCTCTTGATTGATCTTAGCAGCTTATGCATACATATACCTAATCAATTTGCTAAATAATTTTCACATTTCTTTGACTCTTTTTGATTTAACAAAAAGGGGGAGAAGTGTGTGTTTTAAGTGTGCTTTAAAAATGATAAATGGGAGAAGTGTTAAAGTAAGGGGGAGTAATTTCAAAACTTGATTTCAAAATCTTAAAATTACTAAAATGTTTTGTTATATCAAAAAGGGGGAGATTGTTGAAAAAATTTTGATATTTCGATATAACAAATTAAGTTAAATGAATTTTAAGATTTCCAAATGATTTTCTAAGTATATTCGATATATTATTCGAATATAAAAACATTACTCCAATATTTCAAAATCATTTTTAATCCTTACTTAAGTGTAAAATTAAGTTTTAATCTTAAACATTTCAAATAATTTTACAAAGTATTCGAACCATTTCAAAGCTAAAATTCCAGATTGCTCAGAGGGAATCGATTCCCCCCAAGGGGGTACCGATTCCCCCTGAATGGTTTGGCTCCGAGATTTCCGAATGCTCGGAGGGAACCGATTCCCCCATGTTCAACGGTCAAATATTTGAATTTTACACTTAGGGAACCGATTCCCTATGAGGGGCACCGATTCCCCCACGCTCCAAGCTTTTTATTAAATGTTTTCACACTTAAACGGTATATTATCTTCACTAATCATCCCCAACGTTCAGAAGTGATTCAAGGTGTATTTAAGCAAACTTAGAAGCCATTGATCAACAAACAAAACATCAAGCAACTAGAATCAAGAGAGAATCAAAAAAAGCATCAAACCTAAGTTTGAGCATTTCAAGCCTATTTCATTCAATATTCATTTGCTTTCAAGAACACATATTGTGCTCAATTTTATTCATCTTTGAGTGTTCTTTTCTTTGTTCTAGAATTGTGCAAACAATCTACCTTGTGAGGATTTCCTTGTAAGTTTGCAAATTTGTATTGTTCTCTTTGGGAGAGAGTTTTCTCAAGAATTTGGGGTATAATTCTTGAGGGTTTGTAAGTTACTCTTTGTCCTCAAAAGAAAGACAAATTAGTGAATTTGTGAAACCTAGTGTGGATAGCTAAGGTAGTGGACGTAGACTTGATTGAGAAAGTTGAACCACTCTAAATCGCTGTGCAAATCTTTTCAATTTTCTGCAAAAGCTTCCACCAAAATTTTTATTGCCAATTCACCCCCTCTTGGCCGATTCCGTCGATCGATTAACTCAACAATATTGTACTGCCCTAAAAGTTATGGAACATAGCTTAAGTAGGTCGACCAACGCTAATTCTATGTCAGTACCTGAATGGCATATATACCACTTGAATGCTTGTTCGTCTCCTCAAGTTTCGATCAATGATAATTTTGGAAGTACTCAGCTCAGCTCAAATCTAGAGCGCATTCAGTACTAAGACGTGAATATTCATTAGACAAATCAACCACGAATACCAAAATGACTTTATTATATGACCAAATTGAACTGAACGGAAGTACAATATGTATCCGAAATTCAGAAACGTCTGAATTACTCTGAAAAACTCTGAAGTAACTGGGATAAACTTGACTACTAAATGAACTAAGTAACCTCAATGACTAAGGATTAAGTAAGTGATTTGGATGAGTATGAAATGTTGATGAACTTGCATGATGTACTATCCCTATGGGTCATGAAACACTAATTAAGTACGTCAACAATTCTTGATATTGTTGCAATGTGAAAATGAAATAAAGATCAATAGAATATCTGTTAGTCTCCTTAAGATCTATTCAGCGATGATTCTGAAGATGATCTATGGACAAGAATTTTGGTATTAAAGAGTGAATACCCTAGAAGGACAATGAATTGACCAGTCGACAAGCATCAGTTCTAGGAGTTGTTCAGCTCGAGTTGTTAGATAATCCGATCGATCGACATAGATTGTAAATGTTCTGAATCTTCGTTTCTCCCTTATCAGCTCAAATCACTATGAATTCTCCAAGAACCTAATACCCAAAATGCCTATGATTTTCCTGAATAATAGAATCACTCCGGTCATATCTGAACACACAAGTAACTTAGATGCAAAGGATTCTGAATACCCTTCTGATTACTTAGAGCCTCCGAAAAATGTCCGAATAATATATGATCCTGATAAATCACATTCTGAATAACTGATGATTATGTCAGCTAATGAACTCTTCCGATAGTGATTCTAACTTCCGGCATTCTATCGGTATACTAAAGATCCGTGTTTCCCCTGCCGATAATATTAGCATGTACCTCCGAATAGTATCTGGAACCTCTAGTGTGTTTCCTGATGGTGCTACCTTATTGTTTTAAACTATTTATATGATATCTGATTTACCGCATATTTTTGACATGATCTCTGGTTACGGTATTTTTGTACCTGGTTTCTGAATATGGATTAATTATCATTTTCACTCGAATACATACATGTTTATTAATGTCATTGGGGGTATTGTTGGAGGAAGTATTTCAGGCCTAGTCTATGACTTGTAAGACCTTACCGTTTCCGCAGGCTCCTCGACTTTGTGCTCAGGGTTAAGTCCTTACTGCAGGCTTCTCTGCTTTGTGCACAGGGTAAACCCTTACTGGGTGTACATGTGAGTGTATGGTTCTGGGGAACCTACACATTCTTGTGATGGGTAGTGTTCATGTTTTAGTGACATGTATTGCTACTATCTTGATATATTTGTATTACCAATATTTTGTTCCATAAATGTTTTATACAATTTTATGCCGTATTTTTATATGTATATGTTTTATACAATTTTTTGTTCCACAAATTATGACGCAGGCTCTCCCACTTTGAGGAGACTTAAGCAAGCACTTCGAGGGGACCTTAGGCGAACACCCCTCCTATGTGCAATAAAGGTCACTACCCTAGGCCATAGACCTTGTGTTAAAAAATCAATATTAGTCCACACCCAAATTAATTTAATGTCATTGCTTACATCAATTAGTAATAATATCTTCACCTAACTAAATTGATATAGGCAATGACATCAAATTAATTTAAATGTAGGCTAATATTAACTGCTCAACACCTTATTGATCACCCATTAACCCCGTCTAGGTATTTATGTTGTAATGTTGCTAGTTGGCTCTTATTTATGAAGGCTTGCTCGTGCTCCTTTCTTCCTTAGTCAATGTGGGATTAGTGCCTTGTCATAAATAGTCCTGTATATGAATTTTTCCTGCTGACGGGTGAGACTGAATGGAGCCACGGTGGTTTTACAAGATATGGAACACTAATAGATTATTAATCTGTTTCATTTTTCTTTTGCTGATCAAAATTGTTTGTAAATAATACATGAATTCGCTGTTCAATGTCCATGGCAACGACCAAGCATAGCTTGCCTTGAACTCGAATGATCAGAGAATGTTGAGACTCTAGGCAAATTGCTTCAGTCCTCTTTTGCTTTTAGCCAACTAATCCAAGACAGTATTTCACGATCACCAACATAAAATTCCAAGGAATAATCTTGGAGAGTTCCAAGAAGCTGCTTTGTTTCTCAGCTCAGATACATTAACCCTTTGAACAATTTTGCTTCAAAAATAATGTGTTGAAAAACCTCTAAGCTTAATATTTGTCCAGTAAGTTGAGAAAGAAATGGAGGAGAATTTCACTGCCAAAGATGTCACTGAAGTAAGCTGTTTTTCATCTTCTTTAATGATTTTTATTGGTGTTTAAGAAAACAATTCATAGCATTGATATTATTGAGTCCATAGGTGTCCATTGCTGTTGGAAACATGAGTTAAGCAACATAAATATGAATCTAGAGAACAAATATTGCATTTAAACTGCAACTACACATTGGAACCATTGAAAGCTGAGGCTTCTGAATTGGCTGTGTTTATTAATTAGTAACTCGGGTTTTCTTATACATCTGCGTTGCTGCCGATTGTATAATTATCAGGAGAATATGGCTCAAGCCTCAAGCTCTTGGAATATGGCTTCAACTTTTTTGAAAACAACCGGTCTTCTTACAGTGTTGGGAAGTTGTTCTATAAGTCGGGAGTTTTCGATTTGCAACCCCTCTCGTGGACTTATGTACTTTGTAGCAATGCTCCCCTCCTTTCTAACTTTTCCTTCAGGCAGGTGGTAGCTTTGGTTTTTGAACATGTTGTCTTCTTCGAGTCTCTTTCAGCTGAAAAGTTTGATATTTGCAATTTCATATACATCAATTTGTTAAATTCTGTATGTCTGTCCTGGACGTATGTGAATATGAGATTCATCAATCATTCTATCATCCCTTCTAGTAATAAGAGAGCTTTTATTGTATCTTAACGAGTATCAAGATGTCTTTACCCTAAAGAAAGAAGTGCAACTTCATTGCTTACAAAGATGCCCCAACTCAACTTAGGGATGAAATTATATAAAAAGTTAAATTTCTCCTTATTAGTCTCTCTCATCCCTTCTAGTAATAAGAGAGCTTTTATTGTATCTTAACGAGTATCAAGATGTCTTTACCCTAAAGAAAGAAGTGCAACTTCATTGCTTACAAAGATGCCCCAACTCAACTTAGGGATGAAATTATATAAAAAGTTAAATTTCATCCTTATTAGTCGAATTCAATTTAAACCTCATTTCATTGATTTTTAAATTTTAGTCCGTGTTCCATAGCCGCTGTCATCATCTTTGGCAGATTCAACGTTCTGGATGATATTAGCAATTTTCAATGCATCAATTTTAATTCCTGAATGTATCGAACAAAGAATGAGCAGTAGAGCAGAAGATTATTATAAAGTTCGACCATTTACAATATCCAATGCAGGCAAGCAAAATTTTTGAAATTACATTGGACGAGGGCCTCACGAACGCAGGCCCCCACTGCCATAAGTTAGGTAGGCTCTCCCACGTGGGGAGTCCTTAGGCAAGCGCCTCTCCCAAGTGCAATGGAGATCACTGACCTAGGTCATGGACCTTATTGATCACCCATAGACCCCATCCAGATAAGTATGTTGGACCGGAGCGATGTGCCTCTAAATAAAACTCCAGCTCCTGGTCCCTCCTCTTTCTCACTTGCTATGGGATTGAACTTCTCCTGATTCTCCACTCCCCAAAGAGTATAATTTGATTCCTTCTTTCTTTCTTTTTATCTCACTAATTAAAAATGACTGAAGATCAAACATTTACTATCTTTCGATTCATCATAATCCAAATGCGATGTAAGAGTTTACAAAAGCTTTCATCAGTGGTATTGGGGGGGGGGGGTTTGTAACAAAGTGTTCCAGTTCAATTACCATGGCAATATTCAAGCTCTTCTTAACTTGAAAATGAATGTTTATAGAATGTTGAGAATTTGGACAAATTGGTTTCAATCTTTTCTTGCTTTTTGCAGTGAATCAGTTCGATGTCCATGAAAACAACTCAGCATAGCTTGGCCTGAACATGAATGGTTAGAGAATGTTAAGATTGTGGGCAAATTGCTTCAATCATCTCTTGCTTTACTTGTCCAATAGAGCATCTCAGCTTAGTTCATCCATTTTGCTTCATAAAACATGCGTTGAAAAATACTGCCTTTCTTTGAAAAAACCGTAAGCTTAATATTTAGCTGTTCTGTTTTTTTGTTCATTAATGGATAAAACAATTTCCGGCATCGTACATGTTGTTGGGTTTGAAATGAACTGTTGATTGGTAAAACACCATTAGTACATATATATGAACTAAGTTGTAGATGGATGTGTGGTACGAATTGCAGCAAAGTTGGAGTCAATGGAAGCCTGCTCCAGTGTCAAGGACAGGTATTATCATAAACCACTGTAATCATGCTTCCGTACTTTGTCCTAACGAAAGGAATAAATTGCTTTAGCTTATCTTGGTGTTTAAAGTATGAAACACAACAAAAAGTGATATAGGTCCACAGAATAACCATTGATTAAAGCAAAAGAAAGAAACAAAGGAAATTCAAAACTATGCTTTCACCAAACAACTTAGTTTGGAATATTACATTCTTCCAGAGATTAAACGTGAAAGTGTAATTTGTTTATGGTTAGAGAATAATCATGGTATCTTTTCATATTATATCATTATCTAATATGAATTGGTTCTTTTCCTACACAGTTTTCAACAAGGTTGATGGCATCTTTGATTGCACAAGTAAACTGAAAAGTAATGTAGGTAAGGAATATGATCCCAAGCTTTGCATGGTGTTGAGAATTATGATGAAATGAATAACATCTGATATTAGTATTATGCTTAATGTGCAACTACATCACAACCAGCTTATATAGCAGCTATGACTTCAAGCTTACTCAATCTCTTAACTTCCTATAACAACACTCATAACAGAATCCAAAACGTCCTTATCCTTAACAATCATAACAACTTACACACACACTCAATGCACACATTAGCAGTGCATGCACACGTTACACATTAACAATGCATATTCTAGAATGCATATTCTAGAATGCATATTCTAATACATGGAGAGGACGAAAAGAATGTTCCAATAACTATTTAGCATTAAGGAAGAGATGAAGGCTTCCTCAATCCTTTCTCATTCCACTTTTATCTCTCGTCATATTACAGCAGTTATCATTTCCAACAGCTCTTTAGTTTCTTTCTCAAACCTTCACATTTTTTCATTAACCATTGTTTCTCTTTTCCTCCACACCACACCAAATACCCAAATTTCCCCCTTTAACACTATCCATTCATTCCAGACAAAAAAAAAAACCATTGTAAGCTGGCCTGTCGTCGTTTGCAATTGTTCTAAATTTTTTCTCTTCTCTTGTTTGTTCTCCCGTGCAGACCTGTTGTTGTTTCCTGTTTTGTCATTTGGATTATTTCATAGTTGTCTTTCTCTTCTAAAAGAAGAAAAAAATGCAATCTATTATAAGCAGTGCCGCCAGTACAGTTGCCGAATACACGTTTGGTGTCCTCAAACGTGGGATTGGGTACGTAATATATGTTGAGGACAATGTCCAGGATCTGAAGGAGCAAGTTGGAAAGCTGGAAGATGCTCGAGAAAGAGTGCAAGCTGGAAGATGCTCGAGAAAGAGTGCAAGCTGTAAGATGCTCTAGAAAGAGTACAATATTCCGTCGATAGGGCCATAAGGAATGCAGAAAATATTGAAGCAGATATCCTCAAATGGTTGGCCAACGTTGATAAGAAGTTGACTGAAAACGTTGGGGAAAAATGAAAGCAAGATGAGGAGAAAGCAAAGAGAAATGTTTCTTTGCCCTGTGTCCGAATGTTAAGTCTCGCTACCAAGTTGGTAAGAAAGCAATGGAAGAGGCTCAGGCTATCAGTGAACTCCTGGTACAAGGGAGATTCGACAAAGTTTCATATTCTCCTGATATGGAGGGGGTAGTAACCAAAGGTTACAAGGCATTTGAATCGAGAAAAAGAGCCATGGAGGGAATTCTGGAGGGCTTAAAGGAATCAACTCTTGAAATAGTTGGAATACACAGGATGGCAGGAGTAGGCAAGACCAAGCCAGAGTAAAGGAGAAGCGCTTGTTTGACAAGGTTGTAATGGTTGTTTGTTGTTAAAAGCCAACAATTCACGACTAGTGAATTCGGTGGTTTCAACAATTCACGACTAGTGAATTCGGTGGTCCAAGTTGGCAGCAACTTTTAGTTGAAAATTGGCAAGGGAAAATTATCCAATTTAGTCCCTGTACTTTAGGGTATTTATAAAATTAGTCTTTAACCTTCAACTATAAATACCCTAACACATTTAGCTTCAAAACCATTCCATATCATTCTAGCTTTCTCTCAATACTAGAGAATTTAGAGAGTTTTCTTGAGAGTTGTTTTCTCTTTTTATCAAGAGAGAATTATTATTGTTTTCTCTTTGTTAGATCGAGAGAAGTTATAATTCATATTTTCTCATAGTGAAACTCTTCTACCTTTGCCCGTGGTTTTTACCCTATATTATTTAGGAGTTTTCCACGTAAAATTTGTGTATTCTTTATCTTCATTTTATTTTCTCAAATTATCAGTTGCGATTTTGCTCTATCCGATAGTTGTATTCTGCAACAATTGGTATCAGAGCCAGATTTGAGTGTGTAATATCTACTTATTGTCTTTGTGGTTGCCACCAAAAGGTGGATCCTCCAACATAAGAAAGTAAGAAGGTATTACCCATTCTTTGAAGGTTCCATAGAACTATTCACGATATTGAAATAGTGGGAGCTATCAGTAATAGAAGCTATAAAAACGAAATTTGATATTGAAAAGTTCAATGGGAGAAATTTCTCATTATGGAAATTGAAGATGAAGGTCATCTTGAGGAAATACGGTTGTCTAACTATCAGTGAAAGGCCGATAGATTTCATAGATGACAACAAATGGATCGAAATGGACGGGAATGCTATGGAAAACTTTCATCTAGCATTAGCAGATGAAGTATTGTCAAGCATCGAGGAGAAGAAGACAACTAAGGAGATATGAGATTATCTCACCAAACTGTACGAGGACACATTGTTGCACAATAAAATTTTTCTTAAGAGGAAATTGTACAATCTCCGTATGCTAGAATCTATTTCAGTGACAGAGCACTTAAACACATTGAACACTTTATTTTCTCAGTTTACATCCTTAAGATGTACAATAGGAGAACAAGAACGTGTTGAAATTATACTTCAAAGTCTACCTGATTCGTATGATCAACTCATCATCAACTTGACAAACATATGGTAGATCAAAGTAAATCTGCAATAAGCAGAAGCGTTGACAACGATGAGAGGGAGATCAACAGAACGTGGCCAAAACAACAGTAAAAAATATGGTAGATCAAAGTCGAGAAACAAGAAGAATTTAAATTGCTACAACTGTGGAAAGAAGGGTCACTTGAAGAAGGATTGTTGGAGTCTAAGTAAAAACTCCAATCCACAAGGCAATACCGCAAACACTTCAGATGATGGAGATGCTCTATGTTGTGAAGCATCAATCACCGTGGAAGGTAGAAAAAGATTTACAGATATATGGCTTATTGATTCCGGAGCAACATATCACATGACCTCAAGAAGAGAATCGTTCCATCATTATGAACCTGTCTCAGGAGGATCTATGTATAGTTGCAATGATCATGCCTTAGAAAATCATTGGCGTTGGAACCATCAAATTAAAGATGTATGATGGAACAATTAAAGCTGTTCAAGACGTGCAACACGTGAAAGACCTGAAAAAAATTTATTATCCTATGGATTGTTGGATAATAATGCAAGCAAAATTGAAACACAGAAATGAATCATTAAGGTGTTTCGTGGAGCACTTGTGGTGATGAAATGTGAAAAGATAGCAACAAACTTATACATACTGAAGGGAGAGACTTTGCTAGAAGTAGAAGCCTCTGTTGCCTCATGTAGTTCAGATTCTGTAATGCTATGGCATCAGAAACTTGGACACATGTTGAACAAGGAATGAAAGTCCTTGTGGAGCAAAATCTACTTCTAGGCTTAACAAATGTATCACTTACTTTGTGTGAGTATCGTATAACAAGTAAGCAGGACCGGTTAAAATTCAACACGTCAAATTCTAGAGGCAAAAGTGTTCTAGAATTGGTTCATTCTGACGTATGGCAAGCACCAATTACATCCCTAGGCGGAGCAAAATACTTTGTCTCATTTATTGATGACTACTCCAGGAGATGTTGGGTGTACCATATTAAGAAGAAGTCAAACGTGTTTTCAACTTTCAAAAACTTCAAATCGCGGGTGGAACTTGATTCTGGAAATAAGATCAAGTGTTTCAGAATAACTAATGGAGGAAAAATACACAAGTGAAAAATTTGATGACTTTTACAAGAAAGAAGCTATCAAAAGACAGTTCACAGTGGTAAACACTCCTCAACAAAATGGAGTGACAGAGCAGGTGAACAGAACCTTGTTAAAAAGAACAAGAGCAATGTTGAGGGCTGCAGGCCTAGAAAAATCATTTTGGGCATAAGTAGTCAATACCGAATGTTATTTGGTGAATCGAGCTCCATCAACTGCAATAGAGCTGAAG